ATTGTAGGAATTGCTATTAACCCCTTAAGGGCCAAACTTCTGGAATAAAAGGGAATCATGACATGTCATACATGTCATGTGTCCTTAAGGGGTTAAAGAATCCGTTCACAAAATTGGGCTGTTTGCAGACGATAAAATCCTAGCTGTCAAAAACCCAAAAGAATCTTTGAGACACCTCAAGGACATTTTAACTCAATTTGGCGAGATATCGTACTACAAATTAAATGAGTGTAAGACTCAGGCCCTTCCGTTTCATTTAAATAATTTGGAAACCACTGCCCTTAAGAAATCATATTTATTTGTTTGGAGAACTGACTATATGGAATATCTTGGCATTAATTTATGCAAAAATTTGGTCAATATGCACAATTACAACTTGAGGAAAGCATGGTCGGACTTACAAAAAGAGATGGAGAGATGGGGCTTGATGGAGCTCTCATGGCTGGGGAGGGTCGCATCTATTAAAATGACGATACTTCGAAAAAAATTATATTTTTTTAGGACCATCCCTCTGCCCATCCCATTATCATTTTTTAATAAAGTTCACTCTACAATGCTGAAGTTCATCTGGGGGAACAAGCCTGCCCGAGTAAGGCTCACTTCCCTGCAGCACCATAAATCGAATGGCGGTATCGGTGTCCCCAATATCCGCAAATATTATTTCTAACGCATGCCACTAACGCATATTGTTAAAGTGCATTGATGTACAAATTTTTTGCCATATACATTGTTATGCCTATTTCAATGATGGATGGATACTCCTTCCCATTTCCAAGTTCCCCTTCCTTTCCTACCCCTAATACAATGTTTGTATTACTATTACTTGTTAAACAAAATTTTAAAACTTTAGTAAAAATTATTTGAAAAGAAAATATAAGCTGATAAGAAGTGTGTTTCACATTTTGAATTGTTCACAGCTGTATGGTATTATATACCGTTCTTTTTCCCTGTATGGAATGTTGGTCAAATACATGCTCATAATGCACAGAACCGTGAATTTGGTTAAATTAGAAGATATATTGGTGGTGACCCAATTAAGCATCCTAACAAGATCAGGACTGTACAGCAGAATCTGGACACTTAATATAAATGAAGCATTATATTAAGTGAAAAGTGACAAAGAACAGTTTTCTGATTATAAGAATGAGAACTATTTTGACTTGTGGAATAACTTTCCAGTTAAACTAGTACTAGTAAAGGATCGGCACACACATAAAGCTTTTCTAAAGAATGAATAAAGAAAGTCAATCTGAGAAATAATTAATTATAGACCGGATAGATTGCCCAATGTTTATCTGTGGTTACAATCTATGTTGCTAAGTAACGCAGTAAAGGTGTGTGCCTTTTACTTAAATAAACATGAATACATTAAACTGTAAATTATGATCCATTTAAAGTCTTAGACCAAAATTGGAAATGTGTATAGCTATTTGTTTGGTATCTCCAATATCTGGCATCCTGTATAGCTACATATTTACTGTATTTGTTTTTAACACTTCTCTTGGTTTTTGCTCTAGTAAATGCTATTGAAACACTTTTGAATGCAGGTCATTGTCCTATGATGCTCCACATATGCTAAAAGGTGCTTGGACATATTTTTGGAAACGGCCAAAAGAGCACATGCGTGCGGCCATGCCGGTTAAATTAATTTACATTGTATGCTCTGTCTGTGCACAACCCTTTTTACTGTCAGTAAATGTTTTCTTGAGAAACGAAACAGAATAAGAATAGGCTATGAGTAATATTCCGATGCAAACATAAAAGATAAAGTCATTCGTAATTTGATATAACAATAGTCATCGACAACCTCCTGTCTCAAGAGCATCAATACTAGACCATATAGAATATTGGTATATTATAGGGTGCCAACATTATTAAATAATAAAGCCCAAAGTGCAGGATGCAACGATAGTATTTGAACCTGGGTAAGGTAGCACCTGGGAACGGCAAAATTAAATGTTTGTTGTTTTTTTTGCACAAAATGACCAGTTCAGCTGGCATGCCTGTGTCAGCAGGGGACGAAGCATATGGAGACCCTTGCACATATTGTGGATGTGGCTCTAAATTACCTGCTTTATTACTAACAAAATATTTGGAAGACAAGCTTTCGAGAGCTTTCCTCTCTTCCTCGGGTTTTGCTTCAGACCAGAGGAAGAGAGGAAAACTCTCGAAAGCTTGTCTTTCAAATATTATGTTAGTCCAATTAAAAAAACATTGTTAAACACAGATCTGCACACCCGTCAAGCCAAGACTTGCTTTTCCCACAGATATCTCAACTTTGCAATGATGTTACTACTGCACGGAATTCTGGGTGCGCATATGCAAATTAGTTTCAACAAATAATCCCATTTTTGTCTCATTCCATTTTAAACATGGATTCCTTGGAGTTTTTATTTGCTGTATACAACAGCTTTGAAACACAACTCAGGAAGTTGAGCAAAGCCAGTGAACCACTATTGGACAGCTGTTAATGCAACTCATCAGCATGAAGTTGGTTACTGGCCACTGATCAATCACAACATTGAAAACCATCTGCCTATCATGTAGGTTCCCCTTGTGATACCAAAACAGCTCTTATGCATCGATACATGGGTTCCTGTGGTATCCGGCACCAAGACATTAGCAGTAGATCCTTTAACTCCTGCAAGTTGCGAGGAGTGGCCTCCATTAATTAGATTTGTTGTTCCAACACATTCCACAGATGCTCATCGGATTGAGAACTGGGGATATTGGAGACCAGTCATGTTCCTCAAACCAATCCTGAAATGTTTTTGGAGTGTTTCACGCTGCGTTATCCAGCTGAAAGAGGCCAACGCCATCAAGGAACACCATTGCCATGAAGGGGGAGGGGTATGCAGACAACAACAATCTCTAAGCAGGTAGTATGTTTCAAAGTAACATCCACATAAATGCCAGGATCCAAAGTTTCACAGTAAAACATTGCCCGAGTATGACACTGCCGCTGCTGGACAGCCTTCTTCCTACAGTACATCCATGGTAAATCTCATCTCAGGTATATGACGCACATGCAGCCAGCCATCCTTCTGATTTATAAGACCATCAGACCAGGCAACCTTCTTCCATTACCAGACGGGCTAGCCTTCTGTCCCCATGTTCATCAGGGCACCCATGACTCTGACCCGGTTCACTGGTTGTCCTTCTTTGCACCACTTTTGGTAGGTACTAACCAATGCAATTTTGCTTTTCTTGATTAAAAAATTATATTTTTTATTGATCTTCACAAACAATGCCACAGAAAGTTGTTTTTTTTATTCTGTAACTTTCTAATAGATCTTCACAGCAGGATTTGTGCTGTTTTTGTTGCAGAATGCATCTCAGTACCGTGAGGTTATTACACTGATTAGGTTGATCAGTTAACCACTAATGATGATGAATTTAGAAGGAAGCTTTAAACCAAAACGACAGATCTAGAAATAGATCTGATTTGAATAATATTTAGACTTCAGCTATTTGGGTCTAAAATGTTAATGACCATTGTCTACTGTTTAGTTCTTATTTAGTGCATAAAGTAGATTTTTCATATGTCAGCCTTGCTCTTTTAAGTACCGGTAAGTAAATGTCAAGTGGACACAAGTCTGATACCACTGTAACACCCACCTCCCCTCCCCTCCCAACCCCCCACTGGACCCTCTATCAGTTTATCTCTCACAATAATGTTCACAGCATGATGATGGCAGTTTCAGTCACTTATTCACTTCCTTCCTTTACACTAGATGCTCGAACTGCCATCATTTCAGCTAGATTCCCTCCCTAGCTCATCACGAGTCTCCTAACCTAACCGTAACTCCCAACATTATTATTATTGGTATTCATATTCCGCAGTGCTCTACAATACTAGAAAAGGGGGAAATGTAATAATAAATTAGACAATTACTAAATTTTACAGGAACAACAAGTAAATGAGGACCCTGCTCAAACGAGCTTCTAAAATGGATAAAAAGAGCCATTTTAATATTGGGGGGGTGAGTGGGGTTATGGCCACCGTGGGGCTGTTTTGAGAATTTTTAGGTGACTTACTAATAAAAAGATTCTGAAACTAATATTTAATTTATAAGAAGGACAATCTATCTGATACACACAGACTGATTTCTAAACGTATTAGAGACACATTGCTGTGAGTATTATTACTGTGTAGCTCGGTTATACACTCAGACACACCAACAATATGGAGTTCCTAGAGGAGGGACATTAGGATAGAAAAGAGGACAGATAGATTTGTGCTCAAAATAAGGACTGTTCCTCCCTATTCTGTTCTGTGTGAGAATGATATTAGCTGCGGCCTACAGCACTGTGAGTTTATCCCATTGTGCAGCGCTACGGAATTTGCTGGCGCTATATAAATGATAAAATAAAAATAATTATGGTATTTTGAAAAATCGCTGATTCCAGTAATCCATAGCCTAATTCTAACCTGATGACAAGAAACGATAACCCAGGACCTTGGCTGCGATAGTATGCGTTGGTTCTCAATCTATTACAGGTACATGGCCAATATTGATTATAAGCACATCGTAAATGGTTGTATTAAATTTGATCCATCCCTGCTGCATGTATTTTTCAAGAGCTACGGGATTTGCTGGCGCTTTATAAATAATAAAATAATAATAATAAGAGAATGTCTACAAAAAAAAGGTGGATGTGGTAAAGTAATGCAAGGCCTAGCTTTATGAAGCATTGAGGATTTAGTGTTTTCCATAAAGAAAAAAAAAAGGAAACTTCTGTTAATAGTTAGAGAGCTGGGGCTGGGACCTCCCATCCTATTAAATGTTGTGTATCGCAGTTGGCCTTGTCAGATCATCTATTTCTGGCAGATCAGCTATAATTTCTTCATCCTGTGGGTCAGTAGTATGTGAAAAGAGCTTCCCAACAGCTCATATAATCCATATGTAGAAGATAACAATGAATCATAAATAAATAAAAAAACACTGGAATTGCTGTTATTAATTAATGTTCCTTTCAACCATTCTGAATTCCAAATACTAAAGGGCTTCAGTTTTCACATAATTAGGAGGTATGAAATTGTAACGGGGTAGGTGGTCATTACACTGGCCAGACAGACTCAGGCTGCACATGCGCAGGGTGTTGTTGAAGTGCTCTGTTCGTGGGCTGAATGCCCTGGGTGTGGTTTTTGCAGCACCAATGCATCTAATGAGGATCTCACTCTGTGGTTGCTAAGGGAAAAATAAACATTTTAGCAGGACAGGACCTCAAAACTGGGAAACTTGGATAGGTACAGGACACCCAATGGTCCTGCTTTTGGGAGACAGTCCTAATTTGGGGGGTCTGTCCAGATTTAGTTTGCTTTCAGGGACACCAGGGAACTCTCCTAGGGCAGCGCAGTGAGGGCACATCATTAGACATGTTTGTGCCATGGAGCAGGGACTAGGACCAAGCAGACAGCGTTTCAGCAGCTGCCCTACCAGTAATTGGATCACTGGCAGCGCCCTCAGAAGGCCTCCCACCCATCGCGATATTATACCACCCAAGGGTTTTCAAATTTATTAGAAATATATGATCCAGCAATTTTAATGGCAGATAACACCAGCCATAAGTGAATGAATTAGTAATGTTTTACCTCAGTAACCTAGATATCTACGAACGACCTTTCCCTCAAGGCTGGCTGGGGATTATGGGAACCGTAGTTAAGAAACCTCTGTTGTGCCAGTGTAAGCTAAGCACTCGTATAAACTACATACACAAATGCGTTCCGGAGTACACGAGCAATGCTTCACATTGTGCCAAAGATACACACTATCAGAAATAGGGGCACATTTCCTTATAAGCCTTCTCTTTGGCTCAGAACCATGACACACCCAGTCCTACTCAGTTTGTAAAGACTTTACTGTCTGAAATTGATTTGTTGATCAGTTTAGGTATAAACGTGAACAATCGTCAAAAGGCATACATTTAAATTTTGGTGTAGCTAAACAATTTGCTGCATCGTTATTTGTGTGAGTCTATTTATACAGCCTGTTTTAGAATTTAACAATGGTATTTAGAATATTTGTGCACGATTGAGATTCTTTCATTAAGACACACGTTTAAAAAAAAATAATAATTTTATTATGTGCATATAAACCAATAAATATAGAAATACGATTTGTTTGTGTTCATTTCAAAATGTAATTTAAGTGCACGTTCTTATGTTTTTAAATTACAGCATTAAATAAGTTAGTATTGAGACAGAGATGCTCATGCTACGAAAGGAAATATACGTGTGTGCAGATAGTGTGCACTCACTGCCACCTCCTGGCTGTTATCAGGCATTACAAGGCATCTACAAAAGAAAATGGCAGACTCTTTGATGTGCAAAAGTGCAGCTCTGACTCATACTTTAAACAAGCTTTTTTTACACAATATAATGTGGATCATCCAAAAATAAAAAGGAGTCTACAGAAATATTGGCCAATATTGTTGGAGGACCCCATTTTGGGGGAGCATTTGTCAAAAAGGCCAAAAATCATCTATAGGAAAAAACAAAATCTTAAGAACTTATTAGCACCTAGTTATGCTTTAAAAAATGGATTAAAAAATATTAAAAAAGGGATAAAAGGCTTCCGGGGTTGTAAAAGTTGTAAAGCCTGTTCTCAAGTAAATACAGACAAGGTTACATCATATAGTAGTTCCGTTACAGGGAAACAGTTTTCAATTAAATCAGAGATTGGCTGCCGCTCGGACTGTGTTGTGTATTTGCTTCAGTGCCCATGTGGCAGCCAATATGTTGGTCGCACAAAGAGATGTTTAAAAGTGAGACTTTTGGAACATATTAACAACATAAAGAAAAAATTAGATACTCATTCAGTCCCCCTTCACTGCAATAATTGTCCCCTGTTTTCTTTGAAGGGGCTACGCTGTATAGGGATAGAACAAATTCAACCCCATTGGAGAGGGGGTAATAAAGAAAAGCGATTGGCACAAAGGGAATCATATTGGATTCATAGGTTACGCACTCTTGCCCCAAGGGGATTAAATGTGGATATGGATATTGTCTGTTTTTTGAACTAACTAATTTTAATGTATAAAGATACACTTGAAATTGATTATATATAACTCATGTCATTTTATTTAGATTGAATATGACATTGAGTATATGATTGGTTAATTATTTTAGTTTACACAATATGGATATGTAATTTAGTATGTAATAATTGACAAGTAATAATATTTACAGGTCGATTGTTTGAGTTTACACAATATGGATATGTAACTGAGCATGTAATGATTAATAAATATTAATTTTATGGCACTTAATATAATACAGATTTGCAATAAGTATAATATCACTTAAGTCACTTTAAAAAGATTATGCACCTTAATTGGTTATGTTCATTATGTTAGTGTATTAGACATTAATGTCAATATATGGACATATGAATTTATTAATAATTGGTTGCTATTATATATATAGATTTTTTGTAATACTATGATATATGTATTTTTTGTCATATTATGATAAATATTATGAATGGTCAACTTGGATAGGAAGTTGTTACACATTCATTATAAGAATTATTTTTAGTGTTTCATTGTTAGAGGACAATCAATATAATATTTTAAATTCTCTCATTTGATTTCTAACAGTTCTTTTGCTTCTAGTTATGTGTGTATAATTATTAGGTAAAAGAAATACGATGTTTCCAGGCTGCCACTATGTGGAACGCACGTCCATTTCTGTTTCCGAATGTGGAACGCATGATGATCATGTGATAAATCACGGAACACGTGACGCGAACGTAACGTATGACGTATGCGGAAGTGGCTGTTTTCGGAACGAGCCCGGCTTTTTTCATTCCGATCAAGTGAACACACCTGAAGAAAAGAAACCCTGGACGAATAGGAGTCAAAAGAGGAGAAAACACCCACTATTCCACCAATGACTAGAAGGGATTAGCCCTATATAAGGTTATTCATGTGTTAGCGTTTTTAGGATGCTGTTTTTTATTCTCTGTAATTTTGGTGATTGAATTTTGTGCTGAAAGAGGTCCCTGAGGAAGTCCTTCTGTATAAGGACGAAACGCGTAGGACCAGCATCTCTTTCTTATATTGTTTTTATGTATTTTTTATACACCTCTTGAATTTTACAAGTGAATAAATCGCCTTTGAAGTATTCCTTTGGTTGCATTTGCTTGGATCTTCTCGCTGACCTGGATACCCCATTGGCTATCACTTGAGGAGGGAGAATTAAAGGAGAACAACCCCCCCTTTTTACACTTAGGGGGAGGCACCCTAAATACGCTTATATTCTTTGGAATATGTGAGTGCATATTTTTTATCAGTGGTTTTATAGTGTGTAGCAATATTTGCACTATGTTTTGTCCTCTATTATAGGTACATCAGCAGAATCCCAAATATCCTATCAATCATACTGACTCATACTAAACTTGGATGGACTTGAAGCATATTTTATTCAGGACATAACATATGTATTTTGTCTTTTTCAGAGTACTCTTTATGGATCTTCTGGATTTTAATTAATTTCATACCTGCATCCTAATTATCATTGTATACATTCTCCATGTGAGAACATTCAAATACCACAAATTTAAAACCTGAGATTTGGGGGAACAGCATAATCCTAACAGCATAATATATAGTGTTCAAGTAGAGATTGTAGCCGTATTAGTCCAGCGATGTAGATGTAAAAAACATATAAAATTGGTATCTTGTAATACATTTTTTATTGGACTAACAGAATTTTTTAATGACAAGCTTTGAATTCTATGTGTCGTCTTGCTCAGAAATGCTTGAGACTTGAGAAAGGGAGGTTCTCCCGAAAGCTTGTCATTAAAAACTTCTGTTAGTCTAATAAAAAGGTAATACAAGATATGAATTTTATCAGTTTTTTTTTATCTAGCTAGCCTGTGAACTTACAATCTAAGGGATATATATACAGTTGCAAGAAAAAGTATGTGAACCCTTTGGAATGATATGGATTTCTGCACGTACAGGACAGCCACTCATAGGGAGAGTAGCAGCAGTGCTGAACTTTCTCCATTTATAGACAATTTATCTTACCGTGGACTGATGAACAGCAAGGCTTTTGGAGATACTTTTATAACCCTTTCCAGCTTTATGCAAGTCAACAATTCTTAATCGTAGGTCTTCTGAGAGCTCTTTTGTGTGAGGCATCATTCACATCAGGCAATGCTTCTTGTGAAAAGCAAACCCAGAACTGGTGTGTGTTTTTTATAGGTAAAGGCAACTGTAACCAACACCTCCAATCTCATCTCATTGATTGGACTCCAGTTGGCTGACATCTCACTCCAATTAGTTCTTGGAGATTCACATACTTTTTCCACCTACACTGTGAATGTTTACATGGTGTGTTCAATAAAAACATGGCAACATTTCATTCTTTGTGTGTTATCAGTTTAAGCAGACTGTGATTGTCTATTGTTGTGACTTAGATGATGATCAGATCACATTTTATGACCAATTTGTGCAGAAATCAATATCATTCCAAAGGGTTCACATACTTTTTCTTGCGACTGTATATATATATATATATATATATATATATATATATATATATATATGTGTGTGTATATATATATATATATACACACATATATACATATACACAGTATCTCACAAAAGTGAGTACACCCCTCACACTTTTGTAAATATTTTATTATATCTTTTCATGTGACAACACTGAAGAAATGACACTCTGCTACAATGTAAAGTAGTAAGTGTACAGCCTGTATAACAGTGTAAATTTGCTGTCCCCTCAAAATAACTCAGCACACAGCCATTAATGTCTAAACCGTTGGCAACAAAAGTGAGTGCACTCCCAAGTGGAAATGTCCAAATTGGGCCCAAAGTGTAAATATTTTGTGTGACCACCATTATTTTCCAGCACTGCCTTAAACCTCATGGGCGTGGAGTTTACCAGAGCTTCACATGTTGTCACTGGAGTCCTCTTCCACTCCTCCATGATGACATTCCCGGAGCTGGTGGATGTTAGAGACCTTGCGCTCCCCCACTTTCCGTTTGAGGATGCCCCACAGATGCTCACTAGGGTTTAGGACTGGAGTCATGCTTGGCCAGTCCATCACCTTTACCTTCATCCTCTTTAGCAAGGCAGTGGTCGACTTGGATGTGTGTTTGGGGTCATTAACATGTTGGAAAACTGCCCTGCAGCCCAGTCTCCGAAGGCAGGGGATCATGCTCTGCTTCAGTATGTCACATTACATGTTGGCATTCATGGTTCCCTCAATGAACTGCAGCTCCCCAGTGCCGGCAGCACTCATGCAGGCCCAGACCATGACACTCTCACCACCATGCTTGACTGTAGGCAAGACACACTTGTCTTTGTACTCCTCACCCGGTTGCTTGACACAATCGAAATCCAAATAAGTTTATCTTGGTCTCATTGAACCACAGGACATGGTTCCAGTAATCCATGTCCTTAGTCTGCTTGTCTTCAGCAAACTGTTTGTGGGCTTTCTTGTGCATCATCTTTAGAAGAGGCTTCCTTCTGGGACGACAGCCATGCAGACCAATCAATTTTATGTAGTGTGTGGTGTATGGTCTTAGCATTTACAAGCTGACCCACCACCCCTTCAACCTCTGCAGCAATGCTGGCAGCAATCATACGTCTATTTCCCAAAGACAACCTCTGGATTTGATGCTGAGCACGTGCACTCAACTTCTTTGGTCGACTATGGTGAGGCTTGTTCTGAGTGGATCCTGTCCTGTGAAACCGCTGTATGGTCTTGCCCACCGTGTGCAGCTCAGTTTCAGGGTCTTGGCAATCTCCTTATAACCTGGACCATCTTTATGTCGAGCAACAATTCTTTATTTCAGATCCTTAGAGAGTTCTTTGCCATGAGGTGCCACGTTGAACTTCCAGTGACCAGTATGAGAGAGAGTGAGAGCGATAACACCAAATTTAACACACCTGCTCCCCATTCACACCTGATACCTTGTAACACTAACGAGTCACATGACACCGGCGAGGGAAAATAGCTAATTAGGCACAATTTTAACATTTCCATTTAGGGGTGTACTCACTTTTGTTGCCAACTTTTTAGACATTATTGGCTGTGTGTTGAGTTATTTTGAGGGGATAGCAAATTTACACTGTTATAGAGGCTGTATAAGTAAGTATTCACTTATTACTTTACATTGTAGCAGAGTGTCATTTCTTACATGGTATCACATGAAAATATATGATAAAATATTTACAAAAATGTGAGGGGTGTACTCATTTTTGTGAGATACTGTATATACACACGTTTGCTTATTTACATTTTCTTTTTCTTCAGATTTCTA